TCAAATTACTCTTCAAGGTCAAACCTATGGTACCATCTTATGTCCCCCTCGAAACCATACAACTTTTGTCTGAAACATTTTTTCATATCTCTTTTAGTTTTTTAAAAAATCGACTGTATAAATTAAAATGGCCCACCCTGTATAACACATTCTACATATTATTAATTGTTATCATTCGTAATTTTATAAATTAATATATCATTCGTGTGAAGTGAATTTTATAAATTAATTATATTATTTATAATACATAGAGCTTAAAATATTTTACTTTAAAATCCTTTTGCGACATACTATTCCTATTCATTGTAACTCAATTAAAATTATTTGTTACTTAAATCATATATAGCTCATCCTACTTTATATTATTAATTATTATATCATTTGTAATTTTATAACTTAATTATATTATGTATAATACATAAAGCTTAAAATATTTTACTTTAAAATCCTTTTGCGACATACCATTCCTAATCATTGTAACTCAATTAAAATAATTTCGTACTTAAATCATATATAGCACATTCTACCATATATTATTAACCCTGCAATGGGACTCTGTTTTTCGACCTCCAGTAACGGGACTCATGGGGTGTCCGCGATGATTTAAATAACCTTAAAGTAAACAAATAATTCTGAAAAAATTCATAGATGTTCCTTGACATCTTATTTATCAATTACAACAATAAAAACATAATAAAGATTATTTTGTCATTAAAAATTTTGATTTTGAACAAAGGAAAATGGAAAACATCTGAGTAAATTTATAAAATTCATAACTTTTGTTAATTAGTTTATAAAAAAAATCCTACTAGGACTTTTTACTTAAGGGTAGGTACTTTAAGAAAAAAATATAGGAAAGTTCCAGTTTTTAAAAAAGGGTATTTATTTTGAGAGTTGAATATCGCTTATCTTCTAATGGTGGCTTATGAAACCTAATACTGAAAAATATAAGATATGGATGATTGAAATGAAAAAGTCTGTAGGTAAGTTGTCAAGTATTGGCATTTATATGAAATTAACATAAAATTACATAATTAATAACATAATGTTACATCATTTGAAATTTTACGAGCATTCTGGACAGCGCGCAAGTCGATGATCGTCACAAACCGGTTCTTTGCATTTATAACAGCAGAAGAACGTTTTCCTGTCTGTTTTGGTTGGGCAGAAGTGACACCTTTTTCTTTTTGGCATTCTGTCGCTATTTTAGACTCATATTTTACTCATATTTTCATATTTTTTTTCATATTTTAGACTCATTTTCGCACTTATCGACTTCAAACCTTTAAAAACATTTATATTACGAGTTAAGAAACATATTTGTAAAAAAAGAACTTTTTTAAAACGGATTTTACATACGTTAGTAGGACTCATGGGTCACTCGTGCTTTTCGGAGATCCGTTCTCGCTGCCAGTCGCAGGTACACGCACCGGCATAAATGCTGTCCCTATCCTTGTGAGGTGCACGCACACAACTAGAGTCCCTGTAGTTGTGTGCGTGCACCTCACAAGGATAGGGACAGCATTTATGCCGGTGCGCGTACACTGGTGGATTCCGGCGCGCTGGCGGCCACATTCTATCTCCACCCCAAACCTTTTTTACATACCAATACAAAGGGCCCGGGCCTAACGGTTTTCCCAGGGATTCACATTTTCAAAACACCGAGGGCACGAATGACCCATGAGTCCCGTTGCAGGGTTAATTGTTATATCATTCGTAATTTTAGAAATTAATGATAGAAATATATAATAAAGCTTAAAATATTTGTTATATCTGTATGCATTTATGTTTGATCTTGTTGCAGGTATACGCACTGATAGTCCTGATAACGACAGTGCGTTCTCGGACACGGTGTCCATGCTGTCCAGCGAAAGTTCGGCGAGTAGTAGCGGTTCCGGACACAAGCCACCTCAGACCGCCATGCACACAGCTCCTCAGCAACAACCACATCAGCTTGTCGGTGAGTTTTTATTTTATTTTACCTCTCACGGCGCGAACGATGATTACAGATTTGTCGATCGAGTCATCGATTTTATTGTAGGATGAATTTAAAATTTGCTACAAACTCTCGTTTGTTTTACGTGCGCTATTTTATCTGTTTAAATTACTTGGACGACGAGTGTTCTATTTGTACTTCTATTTATATCTATATCAGATATAGGCCGTGCATCACGAGTAAATTTGTTTGTAATTATCTCTCGAGATGCAGCGAGCAGAGCGAAGGCAGAGAAGATCCGCCTGGCACTGGAGAAGATGCGCGAGGCGAGCGTACAGAAGCTCTTCATCAAAGCGTTTACGTTGGACGGCAGCGGTAAGAGCCTCCTGGTCGACGAAGGGATGAGCGTCGCGCACGTGTGTAGGTTGCTCGCGGACAAAAACCACGTGCCAATGGATCCGAAGTGGGCCGTGGTCGAGCATTTGCCCGATCTCTTCATGGGTAAGTTCTATTATCTTCTATTTGCCGACTGCTAATAGAAGACTCTTGCTAGACTGGTGGCGCAACGATTCTTCTCCGATGGGCAATATTTACATGGGACTTTAATTTTTAATGCTGACATTCTTGTTTTCAACCGATATTTACCAGAATTTGATTATCTTTCTATATTATTACTAAAAGTAACATAATAAATGTATTTTATATATATATCTATATTATATAACTTTAAACGACAAGCAGCGCGCCGTAATACAGTTATTAACATTTAGCGTCTAATTTTTCCTTTGTCATTGAAATCTTTTTGAAGGGAGCGCACCGCAAGTTACAGGGAACGATTTTATTACACTATTGGTGCTGGCTTGCAAAACGGGAAACGAAATGAGCGAGATATTAATAAAACTTTCAGAGAGGGTTTACGAGGACCACGAGTTGTTGGTGGAGAATCTTCTGTTGTGGACCAGGGATTCCAAAAACAAGTTGCTCTTCGTCGAGAGACCGGATAAAACGCAACTGTTCCTTACGCCCGAGCGATTCCTTCTCGGTCCCACGGATCGCGGCGGCGGCGAGTACGACGACCACTCGAGAAACATCCTACTGGAGGAGTTCTTCTCGAGCAGCAACGTCGGCGTGCCCGAGGTAAGCGGCGAGATGACGTGTTTACGATCTCGTTGCATCTCGGCAATCAAACCAAGCGAGTTCGTTGACATACATTCCACTTCTCCTCTGCATCGATTACCATTCGCTTTCAGGTCGAGGGCCCGCTGTACTTGAAATCGGACAGCAAGAAGGGCTGGAAGAGGTATCACTTTATTCTCCGAGCCTCTGGTCTTTATTACTGGCCCAAGGAAAAAGCGCGCACCGCTCGAGATCTCGTCTGCCTGGCGACCTTCGACGTTAATCAGGTTTTTATTCTTTCTCGATAATTTCTTTTGCACATTGTTTCCATTCTTAAGACCGTACGAGTTTCTCTAATCACTTGCTATAAAGCTCTTCAGCCATGAATTATGCAAGCTGACTTCTATAAAGAATATTACTAACTGTTAATTAGGTTTATTATGGCGTTGGTTGGCGGAAGAAATACAAGGCGCCCACCGATTTCTGTTTCGCCGTGAAACATCCACGGCTGCAACAGCCCAAATCCACCAAGTACATCAAATTCCTCTGCGCGGAGGATAACGCGTCCTTGGAGCGATGGATGGTTGGCATCCGCGTGGCAAAGTACGGCAGGCAGCTGATGGAGAACTATCGGGCGCTCGTAGACGAACTGGCGCAGGAAGACCTGGACTTGCTAGCACACGCGAGATCGTGTTCGGTCAGTTCTATCGCTACCCCGCCAAATCAGACCCAGTACAACACGACGAATGACAACGCTAGACAGTTCGCGGAGAACACGAGGCACAGTAACGAAACAGTAGTCGCCACGACGAGGCAATACGACGGTCAAAGACAGAGTTACAATCCGGAGCAACGGCAGAGCTACAACAATGACGGCAGGCTGAGCAGAGCGAGCAGCTCCAGCTCTAGCGGATGCCTATCTGATGGGGCACCGAGTAGTTGTGAGGTGAATATGACCAAATACCGGCATAATTAATAATGAATCTGTTGAAAAAATATCGTTACATGCGACTATTGCTGCTGCGTCGCAATTATTTAATTCTCGTATATTAATGTTTGATAGGTGGCCTTCGAATGCGGTGAGTTTCCAACAGGCACGATAAAGCGGAAGCCGTCTATGAATCCGAAATTGCCTCTCACGTCGATCACGAGGCAATTGAAGGAGGTCGGTGAGACCGTCCGCGACGAACCGGACTCCTGTCCAAGCCCGACGAGCTCGGGATCCGGCACGCTGACTAGAAGGCACAGTCGTCGGCGAAGCGGCACAGATTCTGATGGATCCGGCACTTTGAAGAGACATCATAGATCTGGAAACGCCACGCCCGTCAGTCCAGTACCTCCCGGCACGCCGGTGAGGGAGAGAGCGAGCCCAATGGGATACAGCAGATCGGAGAGTCAGGAGTCGAAGACACCGACGAGCCCGATACAGGCGTGCATGGTAATTTATACATTACTGAAGAATTTAACATGATCTAAGGTTTATACGATGTGTAACCAACGAATGTGTGCCCCGCAGATGGATTCGATTACCTCGCTGCCACCGCCGCCGTCGCCGTCAAGAGTCGTCGAGGAAGTCGAGTCCGACAGCGAGCCGCTTCCGCCGCCACCCCCCGAGATGTTCCGATCGAATCTCTCGCTAGACTCGCTGCCGCCGCCGCCCGCGCCCGGCGAACTTCCGGTTTGCAACACGCCGGAGCTCACGGGCTCCTCGTTGAGTCTTGCGTCTCTACCGCCGCCGCCCAGTCCGCTCGTCGGCGAGACCGGAACGATACGTCGCGCTAGGCCCAAGCAGCCCACCCCTACGAACTCTGTGACTCCCGAGAGCACTCCCACGCATACTGCCAACCCCCGGTCGCAATCCAATCAAATATATACAAATAGTATCGCGCTGAACAGCAATTCGATCCAGAATTACAATTCGAATGCACCCCCGAACGTTCATAATGCGAACAACATCGCCAATTCTGTATCTTCTCCGCACAGTTCCTATCCAGGATCGACGGCGAGCACGCCGACCTACGCCCCGAACTCACCTAATTTCACGTCGCCACCGCCCTTCGTGCCGCCGCCGGCTTATGGCACTCAGCCGCCGCACACTAACTCCCAGAGTCTCGGCCGGCAAAATTCCAAGGTCGAATCGATATACCAGTCCAGTCACCATAACACGATCCATAACCCGATCAGGCCGAATCCCAACATGGACACCGTCCGACGTAGCGCTATGAAGCAAGGAACTGGCCATTACGCGGCGCCGCCTTATCTGGCCGAATTGAAGGCCGCCTCCAGTCCGCAGCCGCAACGACGAGTGACCATTCAGGAGCCGCCGACGTCGCCCAAATCGAAGACCGGAACCGGCAAGAAGATCTCATTTAATCTACCGCCCCAACAGGAACCCGGCAGTCCGGCGTTGCCGCAACGGAAGCCGACGCCGCCCAGGAGATCCGACAGCACCAGGCTCACGTCGCCGAAGAAGCTGGCGGCGTCCGATCAGGCGCCGCCGGGCGACTTCCTCAAGGACCTCCAAAGGGTAATGAGGAAGAAGTGGCAGGTTGCGCAGAAGTGCAAGCTGGACTCGACGACGACGCCGCACGAGGTGCTCGGCTTTCGGGACCCGCCGCCCGCCGTGGCCGACTACAGAGAAACCAACGTGTCCAATTGGGTGCAGGAGCACTACGGTGCGGACAATCTGTACGAAAATGTGTACGCGACTGATCCTCACGGGCCGGTCGAGTACGCGTCCAGCCCGACCCGGCAGACGACGGTAAGATTCGCCGATGAGAATCGCAGCATGAACATCGTCAACGCGATTGCCGGGAAAAGGCGACCGCCACCGCCGCCGCCGAAAAGGGCCGAGACCACGCATCTCACCACCACCAGGGCGATGCACTGACAATAGCAGATAATTCAGCCCCATCCCGAGAGGCGATGGTACTGCTGTCTCTGCGGCTGGTGGAAGGAATGAGGACGAAGACGGGGGACGGCTCCGTCGACGCGACGTATCGTCGCTGTTCTGGGGTGTCGGGTACATCGAGTCTATCGCTGCTGCTAGAGAGAATCGTCAACGGAAGAAGAGAAATACTTCTTCGAAAAAGCAGAGACTGTACGATTTCGTTGCCGGGTCCTGTCCTAGATCTCGAGAGGAAAGCACACGGGAGTTAAAAAGAAATTGCATTCGTTCAGTTTCGGTTCTGGATGGCTTTTTTAGTTTTGGAAAGAACCGGAGTGACAGGATCCATCTATATGGATGTTAACGTGAATTAACCATTCATATATTAACGGCAACGAAATCAGAAGTTGGGGATTGCCATGACAAATTGCAAATGCAAGAGGATGAATGTCGACGAACCGTCCTTACCGGAAGTTCTTCTTGACCCGCGTAACGCAACTGCCATTTAGAGCTGAATACGAACCGGAAGATTAATGATGTAAACGCTCTTTTGTATCGAGCAACGAACTATATAAAATTCGAGCCCGCGACAGAGCTTCGATGCCGATCAACACATAAGGAACACTGCCGCACATACGAAGGATGTGATATAAATCATAAGCACCACGCCCACGCCCTCCTGTGAATCTAAGGCCCACGCGAGGAAGATGAGAAGACGATGAGAAGCAACACGACAGAACGCACGATTTTTTTAAAGCGGGACATAGGAACTAACCGATGATTTTATGCAGAATCAAGAGAGTTCTGCTTGTGCGTAAATTTTATAACCGCTAACTGCCTCGTCTGCGATTTTCTCAAATATACTTGGATGTGATAAATAATATAAAATATAAATTATATATATATGTGCGAATACGATCTGTTAAAGTATTCAAAGAAATAATTATTATCGGTATAATAATTACTGATCAAAGTATAATCATATCCGAATATAATTTTTAATAATTTTGCAAGTTCGATACTTAATTTGAAAAAATGATTCATTTGGCATTCGCTTCGAGAAAATATTGCTTCGAAAGTATCGCGAAAATATTTTACAATGCGTGCTCTAATAATATAAATGAGAATAAAAATGTAATATATATATTATGACATATATATTTTGTCTCGAGAGTTTTCGCTTACTTTTTGACTTTTTCGAAATGAAAAGCTTGACGATTGGAATTGTATTCCCAAAGAGTATGATAACGAAGGGAACGCATGTTCTGTAACGCGTAAGCCGCAGCGCTCGAAGATGCGCCGAGAAAGTCGCCGCGAAGCGAAATTGATCTCAGCTCGAACTGGACGCGACCAGGACTTTTCGCAGCGCAGGTGCTTCAGCGGTAAAGGTAACAACTTTATCGGACATCTTCTATGCGATTCTGTGCGACTAGAGCGTTTTTCTTTGCGATCACATCCTTGTGCATAGGTATATATGTATATAAACTGAATATATACGCGCGTTTACATCGATATATCGACTTGGATGCTGTATGTGTAGTTGTATTATACAATCGGAACGTGCTTCACGATGTGGACACGATGACAGGATTTACGGTTGTCCGTAGGTTCATCGGTTGTACTCGAACCCGACAGAACGATAACTTTACTCGCTCGTCATCGGAGTGAACTGCGCGTGACGTCTCGTGGTACGAGGACGCGAGATCTCGTTTATCCTACTTTTCGTTTCTTTTTCGTGCGATAACAGAGGAAGAAGCTGATGACGTCGTTCTGAAAGCCAGGCGGATCAAATGAGAAGAATGTTGAAATTCTCGCGAGTCTCCGATGAATCGGCCAACTTTGGAGACGACATAGATAACAATTCTTTGGATATTTTTAATGAAGTCGCGGAGAGGAACACGCGAACGTGCTATCCACTGGATCTGTTATCTTGATGATTTGACTCACTCCTCTTATTTTGAGTATCCGATTCCTAGAATTAGATGAAAAATGCGATTCAGGTACGTGCGGATTGTCACACGTCGCCGATCGGAGAGAAAGCGAAATATGCGTCGAGCGATCGCGAGGATCGTCGCGCTGGTCAATGAAGAGGAACAATATCGTGCGTAGCTTCCCGAATTGTGATCACCAATGGAATCTTCAGCAACGACTAGCCGAGCCTTTTGAAGGTCGCGTAGCTGATGTAGTTTTATATCTCGATTTGTATCACGTTTGCATGACATACATGTGAAAGTTAACGACTCCTCGGACTTACGGAACATCCGTATCGTCGAATTTTTATATACGAAATCGGCAGCCGCTCGAGAAAGCCCGTTCATGCGATATTCAATCCGTAGAAAGTATTTTGTAAGATTGCAAATTTTGATACAGAAATATTTCGCCGTAGTTGTACGCGGGTATGTGAATAGGGAACTACATGGCTCAACGTGTACAAGTTGATCGACCAGTTTTCGAGCCGACAAACCACTTTTAATTTTTCAATCCTTGGATATTTCCGAGAAGATCATATTCACGATAATCTCTCCACTTGTCTAAAGTCCATGTGTGTGCGGGATACTGTTGCGAGTGACTTGTCGACCAGCTCTTGATCGACAGATCACTCTTCCTGATTCGTTAACGTTTTTAATTTTTTAAAAGGATTGTTCACGCCGTGCCTGCGCGCGAAAATTATTCAAATTTTCTAAAAGAAATACCGTGTGTGTCTGTGCGTGAGGATTTTCCAGTTTTATAAAAGCATTCGCGTCGTTTTCCAACGCGCAACCGTACAAGTTTTACGATTTTCACGCCGTGCCTGTGCGCGAAAACTTTCCCAATTTTCAAGGAGATCCGCACGAGATCTCGCACCGGGCGTGCTCCCTCGAGCGAGCGCCGTAAACGAGCACGAATCTGCGTACTGTAACACAATCGAATTACTTAATAATAATAGCTAAAGACTAACTTAAAGTGGAACCGTCGATGTCGATTTAACTATATCCCCGCCTTACGCGCGGTTTAATCAAACTGAACCAATAATATAAATGCATTTTTGAGACTAATATATCGACTTTACAGAGACTAATGATCTTTTTCATACGAATTTCTAAAATATACTTCCCGCGAGTGCGAGTATCAGTGCCCCGTGTCCGCTTGGAACGCAACTCGCGAAATCTTATTCTTCAATCTGTCGAAGGCATTTCGGCAGTCAGTACATTTTATATTCATTTTACATTAATTAAAGTTTCGGTTTTATTTTCTTTTCTTCTTAGACCTCATTTTATTTCCATCGTGATCTGAGATGGACTCATTTCCATACGATCTACTAGCGCTCTAACATAATTTTATTTTTTTTTATTCCGATGGAACTTTGTATCTCTTCCTTTTTTCTTTCTTTCTTTTTTTTCACGTTGCCGCGAATTCTCTGTGCGATCACGTCGCCGACTTATTCCAAGTAAACTGAAAGAGGAACTGGTACGGGACTCGTTGGGAATGCTGGCGCGTGCCGAGATAAAAACTTCTTTTGTATCCGTACTCCTTAAGGAACTTTCGCCGAGCTGAACACTCCAGGCAATCTGTGTAGGTAGCTTTAGTATTCGATGTACGCGTGCTGCCCATCGCTTGATTTTCGTGGGATGGATGAGTTAATCGACCGTCCATTTCCAGTGAACAATAATTTGATCGAGGCTTTCGCGGTGAGATTTGTGCAATTGGCAACAGGAGTCTGCAGGGAACGAAGTCGAGAAAGTACGATAATGATCGGTTGCTAACAGAAATTATAACATTTTGATTAATGGTACTCGGGGTCGGCTTGGAAGATTAATAAACGATGTCGAAATCTGCGAAGTTAAGAACGAGAACAAAGTCGTTCGATTGCGAAACGTTTTTCTTCATTACAACAATCTTCACGCGTAGGTTTAGCGAACGAGAGAGAAATGCGTTTCCTTTTCGCGTCGTGGAATATTTGTACGAGGACAGTGAGGAGCTTTTTGAGCCGGCCCCTTTTTAATTGCATAATCTAAGTTGTTGGAATAATTCTGTAAATATTGTAACGAGTGGTACCACGACGAAAAATTTATTGTCGGCGATGTCGCGCGACCGAACAATGATACAAACGTGTTTACATTGTAGCGAGGGTGAAGCGAAGCGAGGGAGGCAAGTGTAAGCCCTCCAAGATTTTGGAAGGGATGCGAATCGTGCGGAGCTTCACTGCGTTTCGTTTGGTTTAATCAATTGCTTCGGCTCGAGAAGATCGCTTCGGTCAGTTATCGCGAGGAGAGAGAGAGAGAGAGACATCGGACGCTGCGTTCGCATCGCTATCAGATCGATTCGATGTAGCTTAACAGTTAGACTTTAGGTCGTATTGCAGGTTGTTTCGGATACACTCTGTGCAGGTGTGTTTAAAAAAAGAAATTGTGACAATACTGACATTATTTCGTGACCCGACGCCAGTTGTTTAGGTATAACGCGTACCGAGCGAACAAAGAAATGCGCAGCAGTTGAAATATTATAGGTATTATATTCATGTTTTTATGTAAATAAATTTTTGGTATATTTCAATGGTCGACGACCATTTTCTTTCTCCCATGTGCCTTATCCGATACGCTTGACATTTATCATAGAATTTAACGTACTTGTTGATAAAGCGCAATTTTTAATCAAAGTAACGTACAATTGCTTATAACTTTTTTAATATAGAGATATTGCTATTGAGAATTTTGTAAGTTACCAATTACCGACGGCGAATGAAGATTCATTTTTAGAGATACTTTTTCGTAAAATGCAACGTATCGTCACAATGATTTTAGAATATGTGTGAGAAAGAACAAGTATATTTATTATTTTTTATTTTTATATAGTTGAAGATATCTTTCGATTTTACTGACCATCGGTATTACTAACCGTTGGTCATGAAAGAAGTCTTTTAAGCTTTCGATACAAATGACAACGACACGAAAAATATTTATAAACATTGCGCATTGCAATACTTCAATAGTTTTTGCCAATTCTGGTTTAAAATCGTATCTGAAGTTCCTTATTACATTGCAAGATAACGCACGAATGTCGAGAAACAATTTTTGTCTCTTTGGTTCAAAAGGTTTTCTGTTATACGTTTTTTTTTACGCGCAATTATTATTTTTTTACATACCTTGGCACTTTTTCATCTCTTGCGCGGATTCTTTTAGTATGAATCTCTTTGCTCTCTTTCCTCCCTTCTCTCCTTTAAAATTTCAAACCGAGTGGTTACCCTTCTGCCGGCGGGCATATAAGTGGCAAAAAGATGCGCGCTTCCGGTCATAAAAGCGCCTTAATAAAAAGCCCTCGTTTTTAATATTCTCAAGCCGTGTGTGAGGGACGTGGCTCGTAGATATACATAAACTTGCGCGGTATTGAATTTTCCAGCTTTTCTCGCCGCGTAAGCCAAGGTTCGCCGTAAACCTGTGGCTGCCGGCTCGAATATTCGCTTCGATATATTCTCTCTCTCTCTCTCTCTCTCTCTCTCTCTCTCTCTCTCTCTCTCCCCCTTTTTTATACTAATACATTAACGATAGCCCTCGCGTCGCCGAGCATGATTCATAATTCATCTGTCGCGTTCTTTGTTGGCGATTCTTTGTCGCGACCGGCCCGCAATTAAGTTGGCCCGATAAAAGCTCGTGATAAGAGCCACCATGTTGAATCACTTGACGTCGGTTCGTTGAAAAATCGATTAGCAAAACGGAATATTTCACTCGTATAAATGGGACACTCATTGCCGCATGTAAAGCGAATGAAGTCGCTTATAAAAAAAAGGACGAGATCGCTGGATTTCAATGCACGAGATTGAAGCTACGTTACGTTTCGGTTTTCGCTTCGAATTACAGTCTGTCAGTCTCGTACCTTTACTCTTTCTACACTTTGAATAAAACAATTTCATATATATTTATTCCTTCGAGAAAGAAAGGACAAGGGGAAAAACGAGTGACTAATTTGTAAGCATAATGAATCTACAATATAACTTTGAATTCGTTTCGTTCACACTTCAATCGAATTCAACTTCCTGCGCGGCGTGTCATTCTCGTTGGATTAATTGGTGAAAAAAGT